ATCAATAGTAAAGACATATTTTAAACAATAGTAAAGGAAAATTACAAATAGAACGAAAATTAAAAATAGAACAGAAATATTTCAATAATAATATTCTATATCATTAGTTAAAAATGGAATGAAAATTATGTAAAAATATCACTGCATCTGATTTCTAATTGACTCATTGACTGAAAAAGAAAAAATAATTGGCTGAAAATGAATATGATATTACTAATTGACTGGAAATATAAAAGGATTGACTACAAATGAAAAATGATTCATAATTGACTAAAGTGAAAAAAAATTGGTCAGATCATTGCATTTTAATTAAAAACTGGACGGAAATATTTCAATAATAATATTCTACATCATCAATAGTAAATGCATATTTTAAACAATAGTAAAGGTAAATTAAAAATGGAATGGAAATATTTTAATAATAATATTCTACATCATCAATTAAAAATATAACGGAAATTAGGTAAAAATATCACTACATATGATATTCTAATTGACTAATTGACAGAAAATAAAAAAGAATAATTGGCTGAAAATTAATATGATATTACTAATTGACTGAAAATATAAAAGGATCACTAATTGACTGATATTCTACGATTATATATTTTCTCCAGAGTCACCCATCGTAATGGACTGAAGATGTTAACTATAAATGAGGATTGACAAGATTGTGTTGCTACTACTAATGTCGTATACAATGAGGTTTCAATAATGTGTAAATACAATCGGTGATATTATGTTCTTTTAAATGACAAAATTGCTATATATCTAGACAAAAAATATATTTTCCATACAAATGAATTATGATAGCAATTCATTCCTATAACTGAGTTGCTAAAGAATAAGCATGTTTCCCTAATTTATAAAAATACTAAACAATGATAAATAAAATCTTCAAAGGTACAGAACCGCATGCGTACATCTACACATTAGCTATTAATTTGAGCAACTATTTACTCAAATTCAAGCAATGATAACATCAAAATATATAAACGATCCAAATCATATTTTCAATTGCACTATATAATATTTGATATTCAAATTTAAATAATTATATATCAATCCAAATATTCTTAGGGGGTGTATTCAATCATTACTTTTGTAGAGTTTTAAAGACTTTTAAAATTATAGATTTTAATAAACTGTGATTGACTTTCATAGAGTCGTTCAAAACTTTTTAAAACTTTATAAGACTCTATAAAAGTTTATATAAAAAATATTTATAGACTTTTATCAACTTTTTTATTTTCAAAAGTCCACAAAAGTCATTGAAATTCTAAATTGAATACATCCCTAAAAACTTTCAATGATTTTGATTCTTATCATTTATAATTTTCTTACAAAACATTTATAATATATCATAAAATTCTTCTTATTATATAGTTCTTCACCCACATCAACATTCTCAACATTATTATTTTTATCCATAGTATGCTGAGATTTCTATGCTAATTATTTATTCTTCAAAAAAAATGCTAATTACTTATTTATATATATATACTAGTTTTTTACGCGCATTGCGCGATTGGGATAATGCCCAATGTTTTTTTTTTTAAATAAGTACTTTAAAGTATATTAAGGCAAGATTATATTGAAATTGTTCATGCATAGATAATTGAAGGTTGAATTTGCGTATTTAAATAGGTAATTCTTCTCCCAAAGGTTGAGTCCCCTACCCCAAGGGCCCCCCACACTCTGACCCGACAGAGCATTGTAGGAAGTTGTAAATCACGGTGACTCAATGGTTCAGCAAACAGGACCAAATGTCGGTGCGAACAAGGAATCTGCCCACTTTGGACATAATTCCCGGACTGCCGCCGCCGAGGTTGAAACCTTGGTCTCTTCTCCCAAATACTGCCCACTAAACCATTGAGCTAAGCCCGTGCGGGTTAAATAGGTAATTCTAAGTTTACAAATGCAAGATAATATAGTCAAGATTGATTATAATTGTCAATAAAATAATTGTATAGGTATGGTTGAAACCAAATACGGGACATAAGGGAGAACAAATAAAAATTAGGGCATAAAATATTAAATATATACTAATATTGTTTGAGGAGATTTCGACATTAGGATTTGTGGTTAAGTTCTATTAAGACTTTAATATTAGAATTAGATTAATGGTGTAATTATAATTCTATATTAGACGTTAATATTATAATTAGACTAACAGTGAATTAACGGTATTTAACGAAAAAGTTAAATGGATAATCATATAATTAAGGATAAATTAGAAAAATTTAAAAAAAAAAAATTAAAACCTGAACAATGTGAACCATTCATTTGATTTAATAATTTGGCAGTCATTTTTTCTACCCAATGTTAATAATTAAATAAATTCGTTGGTCAAATCCGCTAATATAATCTGCGCGCACGTAACTGCTGATTGTCAAACAAGGACATTGCAAGGTAGTTCTCACTTCAATTTGTTGTGTGATTTGAATACTCTTTTTGTCACAAAATCTCTCAAGTAGTTAATATGGTTGGCTTTATTAATTATATATTTTTTAATTTTTTCATGGTATTAATAAAATACTTGGTAAATAAATATATAGCATTATTTTGTATTATAACTTTGATATTTAATTAGAAAAATAGTGCAAAAAAAAAAAGATAATAGACAATGTAGTGAATATAATCAATTGATGAATTTGAATGTAAAAATTTTTACATTTGAGAAAAATAAAGACAATATAACTAATGAAAATATTTCTCTTAATTAATTTATTGATAATGAATAATTTTTTTTCACTGAATTAAGACATTGTAAGGATAATGTAGCGAATATAATCAATTAATAAATTTGAATATAAAGAATTTTTATATTGTAGAAAAATAAAGACAATATAACTAATACAATTATTTCTCTAATTTAATTTATTGATAATGAATATTTTTTTTTGAATAAAGGCATTGTGGACACATAATTCTAAATTAAAGAAATGCATATCTATAATTTTTTGTTGTAGCTACTAAATTATTATTTATATAATTTAATAAGAGTAAAATAGAGTACTAATTATGCCAACTTTAATTTGAGTGGGATGAGGTTCAAACCTAAGACCTTTTTTTTTTTTTTATTGAAATCAATGAGTAAGTTAACGGTGAACTAACGGCAATTCTTAAAATTTTAACGGAATTACTAATGGTGTGTGGTATTTTAGGAAATTTTAGTGTAAAATTTAAATCTTATCAATCTTTTAATCAATCTGAGTCATTCATTTGATTAAAATCTGTGACCGCCATTTTTTCTACCCATTATAGGCCTAACTCTCTTGGGCTCTTATTAGTATATATATATATATATATATATATATATATATATATATATATATATATATATATATATATATATATTATTTATATTAGATTTTTTTTTATGCAACTTGTAATTATATTTTTAAATATTTTATATGATCAATTCTTTTATTATGAATTTTATTGTTCAATATTGTTATGAATTTCTAATGAGATGATTTTTTTTTTATGTTTATTAATATATATATATATATATATATATATATATATATATATATATATATATATATATATATATATATATATATAATTATACTTGATATATTGCTAGGAATCACACAAAGTACTATTATTTGCAATAGCAATTTGAGACTGCGAACAACAACAAGGTGCTACTGTATGCAACCCCAAATTGTTGTTGTGAATAATAGTTCGCTATTCGTAGTAACCTGTTGTTAAAAAAACGAAAAATATATATTACGAATATAAACATAAAAAGAATAAAAATCAAAATATATAAATATTTATATGAATATTATGAAACATATACTAAAATTTGACGATGAAAAATTTGCTTTGTTCATGTATTTAGGGAGAATTAGAGAAAGTTAGGGATAAAAAATTCATAGAAAAAATAAAAGTCAATATAAACACGCAATAATTAAGTAAAAATAATATTATTTCGAATTTTTAGATGAAGATTGTAAAGTTTAGGAGAGAGAAAAATTAGTAGAGTTTAGATATGAGAAAAATATAGGATAATAAAGAAAAAATAATTTTATTGAATTTAGATAGGTTTATAAACTTTAAATAGGGAGAAAAAATAGGAGTTAATACCATCTGAGGCCATCCGAGTATAGTGGTTTTGCCACGTTTAGTCCTAAACTTTTAAATTGACCATCTGTGGTCCTTCGACTTTCAAATTTAACCATTTGTGGTCCTAGTTAACCACTCATGGTCCTTCAACTATTAAATTTTAACCAACCATGGTCCTTTCAAGAGGACCAAGATTGGTTAAATTTTGAAACTTGAAGGACCATGGGTGATTATCATGGACCACAAATGGTTAAATTTGAAAGTCGAAGGACCACAGATGGTCAATTTAAAAGTTTAGGACTAAACGTGGCAAAACCATTATACTCAAAGGACCTCAGATGGTATTAACTCAAAAAATAGAGTTTAAATAGAGAGAGAAAACATTCAAAGTTGTTAGAAAGAAAATTTTTAAATCTTGGATTGATGGATGGTTGGATTTCAACTATTTATATTTGAGAATGAAAAGTCTACAAAAGTCTTAAAATTAAAAAGTGTACGTACAAAAGTTCATAACTTTTTGAATACCACATGAATTTTAAAGACTCTTTAAAAATCTTGATTGAATACCGCATAACTTTTAAAGACTCTCTAAAAGTTTGAATTGAATACCTCCAAACTTTTAAAGTTCATAAAAATCTTTAAACTCTATAAAAGTCATGATTGAATACACCCCTTTAATATATTACAACAAATCCATTCCGTGCATCGCACGGGCGCAAATACTAGTGTCAATAATATAATTTGCCCAATTATAGGATCATCATTGTTATGATCTATGCAGTGAATTTTTTCCGTTCCCAGACATTTGAGGAACAATAAGAATCCAAGATTATAGTTAAAGTGCCATTTTCCATAAATACATTTTTCATTTTCCTTGCTTTTCTAATGAAAAATAAAAATTGTGGAGACTGTGAAAAATGAAAGACATAAAACTCAACTAAAGTGCCCTTAAAGCTTTAATGTTCATTTGCTACTACAACAAAACAATAATTACACATCTCCCATTCACAGTGGGTTTATATTTACAGTGAAAAAACAAAAAACAATAACAATAACTGACACCCTCCCTCAAATTATACAGTGTGTTACAAAAATGATGGAGCTAAAATACAGATATGTACATACAGATGGTTACAAGATTAGAGCAAAAAAAGGTTACCACAAAGCAAACTGACCAAACACTATCTATATACATACCAGTTTGGATGAGCAAATGATCATATATGGATCTACCCCAATTGATCAGCTAAAACTTTAGTCATATTGTTTCCTTTCTTCTTGAATGGATTGAAAGATCCGAGCCGCAGATTCAGTAGCTGACTTGGCATGGCGAGGCACAGCTCGTATTACTCTCGTGGGCTGATGATGAGCATAACGAGCACCTCCTCTACGTTCCATTTCGGTACTCACCACGGGCACCACACCGGGTGGTGATTTCTCGCTTGGACTACTCGCTGTGCTGGTCTGCACCTCGTTTTCCTCGAAAGGATGCAATATCCCGACATTTCGGGCAGTGCGGTTCTTCTTCTGGTTTCGCACGTGACACGAGTTCTGGTGTTGAGAGTTAGAGTTGGCCCCTCCCGATACCTGACATTGCGAACCCATTCCAGTAAATTGTTTCATCTCTTCAACGCCAGAAGTTGAGATGGCGGGATTCATCCCGTATGGAGGAAAGTAACCATTGAAAGCGGGAGGTGCAAAGGGAACTCCCATTCCTTGATAAGCCGGAACTGAAAAGTGCCCTTTCACAGGACTCAACCCCGGGGATCCACAACCTCCACAGACGGGGGCCATGAATCCCGGTCCAGGGTACGGTTTATACACGAGACCTTCAGAGGGAGTCATCACTGGGACCAACCATTGGTGACCCGCTGGCTGATGGAAACACCAAGGACCCATCTCGGATTCGTTACTTATGGCTGCCCCCGTAGGATTTCCCGAAAAAGGTCTGCAGCTCGGAGGAGGTTGACCGCCATTTTGCACAGAAGAAAAAGACGCTTTCCTCGTGGTATTTTCAGCGGAGAATTCCATCCTAAACTCGGGCATTTCCAAATCATTTTTGTGCTTCGAAACGTCTTGGGGTTCCTTGACAATATATTCTAGAGGAAGACTCTTTGCAGAAGATCGTTTTAAAGATTTCGCCAAATAAGCGCTACCATCAAGCACATTTGGTGACCCGGCTATAAGTTTTTGGACCTGTGAAATTATTTAAGTAACAACGTATAAGTATGAAGGTCAAGCAAATATTAAAACACTAAACAAAGTATATCCCATATACATGATTGAAGTGAGATCAGTGTCTTACCTTTATTAACCTATGCAACTCGAATACTTGAAATGCAAACACTTGTTGTTGACTGTAAACCAAATTAATGCGTGAGCGACAGAGAGAGACACAAACAGTAAACTGTGTAATAAAGAAAATGATGGGAAAAGTGCTTAGATAACCACATTTTTTCTTAAGAAATAAAACCAGATAGAGTAGATTAAGCCGGCAAAAATGGTTGGTTGTGTTGTTGTAATAAAACACTCAAAATCATCGAATAGCTTAAGTATGATACTGCAGAAAGACAACTAGCAAGCACCAAGTATGATCACTGCAATCTTCTCTATAACATTCCTAGTAGGGGGGGGGGGGGGGGGGGGGGGAGGATTCAAGAAAGTCAGCAAATTTAAATTGTCACTTTCTCAAAGATTATTCACGAACCAAATATCACTTCAAGGACACAATCGGGAACGTAATAGGGTGACATCAAATATAAGCTCACTAGGCAAAAGACAATCCATATCCTATGGTATGTAATTAAGGGTGTGTTTGGAAAGCATGAAAATGTTTTCTGGAAAATGAGTCATTTTCCTTTCCCGTGTTTGGTTGCAGTCCAGAAAACTATGTGTTTGGTTCATTTTCTGGAAAATGAGCATAGTTATTTTTAATTTTAAATATTTAAAATATACAATGATGGTGGTGATGGGTGGGGGGTGGTGGCGGCGGGGTGATTGGCTGTTCCACTGCTGCAAACGGAAAATGACTTCCCCCAAAAAAAGGGGAAGTCATTTTCCGGAAAATCCCCTCTATTTTCCATTTACCACACCCCTATTTTCCATTGACTTCTATTTTCCCCCTCTAGCCAAATGGAAACCCGGAAAATGATTTCCAGAAATAATTTTCCGGGTTTCCAAACGCACTATTATCAATGTTTGAAGCCTTGAAAACGCACCAAATTAAATAGCCCAATAGATCGACTTACTGTATGATAGATTTTCTGGCTTTCCAAAAATGATTTTTTCCGATTAATCCAACAATATCATCAGGAATTATGGCCACTCCAGATATACAACCGACCATGGAAGTCTCAGATGAGTCTTCACCGGGACAAACATTTCCTGTTCGAAGCGATTTATATCCCTTGTCTTTCTGAGATTCTGTATCACTAACCAGATTAATAGTAATCATCTGTTCTTCCGTTTGAAAATCCCTCATTACGATAGAAGAATCTCCATCCTCCACATCCCTAATTATGGTAGCATCACCGTTAAAGCTGCCAACTTGAGAATCATCCATGTGTTCTGGCCGTAAGTTTATGCCACTCTTATCTAAAGGGCCGCCCAGCTCATATTCCAAGAGAACATCAGTTTGTTTCGAAGGACCCACTGGCTTATCTGTGGCTGTAGCACTCAAGGCAGCTTTAACGGGTTGTCCTCTGATTGCCACGAGCTGTTTTGGGCTCTTATGTTGTCTTGTGTTTATTCCAATATTGAGCTTTGAACCTTTATTAGGACAAACTGAAGCAGCCGGACTCGATGGAGCAAGTTTTTCCCAATCTGATTTACTATAAAATTTCCCCGGACCTTGATCTGTACTAGAGTTGACAATGATGCAAACTCTTGAATCATCTCCAACCGCTTTCTTTCTGGATTCAAACTGTGTCAGCTGAGTAGAATCAGAACAGCAAGCATGTAACTTCTCAGCTGAGGTTCTCGATGAAGGCAAATGCAATGGAAACAGCATATCCCTTTCATGTCCATTACCCTACAGAAATAAATTGCCCAGCAAAGTCAGTAAATTCACATAAATAATGAAATGTGCAAAAATAAACAAGAGTCTACAATAAGTCCATAACACCAAAAACATATTAAGGGCAACCCAGCCAAGTTGGTCAGGCTGTTGACTTGATAACCACAAGGTTACAAGTCTATTGACCTTCTTAGTTTGAGCCTGTCAACTATGGATAACCTAGGTTGGTTTACCACCTTGTAGACCTTTGCTGGCAAGGATTTCAAGGTAGGGTTTTTACATTGTCACACCTTGGAAATTGGGATAGTGGTTGCAGTTTCCTCGTCACTATAAAACATATTAACAAAGTACACTCACAAAACAAGAGTCTACCATAAGTCCATAACATCAAAAACATATTAAGGGCAACCCAGCCAAGTTGGTCAGGCTGTTGGCTTGGTAACCACAAGGTTATAAGTCTATTATCCTTCTTGGTTTGAGCCTATCAGCTACGGACAACCAAGGTTGGTTTACCCCCTTGTGGTCCTTTGCTGGCTAGGATTTCAAGGCAGGGTTTTTACATTGTCACACCTCGGGATAGTGGGGTTTCCTTGTCACTCAAAAACATATTAACAAAGTACACTCACAAAACAATAGTCTATCATAAGTCCATAACATCAAAAATATTACGGGGCACCCAAGCCAAGTTGGTCAGGATGTTGGCTCGGTAACCACAAGGTTACAAGTTTATTAGTCTTCTTGGTTTGAGTTTGTCAACTATGAACAACCTAGGTTCATTTACCATCTTGTGATCCTTTGCCAGCTAAGATTTCAAGACGGGAATTTTACCAGTGTAAACCCTCAGGTAGTGGCTGCAAGTTTACTAACTAGGTCACTCAAAAACATATTAACAGTGTACACTCACAAAAACAAGAATCTACCATATACAGATAGATAGATAGATATATAGTGTAGACAGGCAACCAAAAGGTGTTACTTGTTAGAAGAATTCCAAATTTACCTGAGGAATCAAATTGGGGTTGAAACGCTGAGAAGGGATGCTAAGCTGCTCATAGAGGGCCATCTTGTTCCTTGGAGGAGCCCTTGGTCCTCCCTTCTCAGTATCATTCACATGAAGCCTTGGGAACATTGGTCCCATGACTTTCTCATCAGCTTCAACACCCCTCTCTCTATCTCTTTCTCTATCTATCTATATAATAAACAAAACCAACTATTAGCTAAACTTACCAGAAATTCTTATCAACCCAAACTTAAAATATTCAAAACAGCACACATCAAAAACCAAATCAAAATTCACAAGTAAAACCCCCAAAATCGATTCCTTCACACAAAAAAAACTTACCAGGCAGCATAAAACACGCGAAATTCCTCAAACCCAGAAGCCAAAACTGAATCTTTTAGCAACTAAAATCACAGCAATCCACGCTTCAAGAAAAAGGCTGTAATTTCCTAAGAATATCTAAGATTTGAAGTGAAGAAAGACTTCCAAGAATGGCAAAACGAAAAAAAGTGAGGAAAAAAGTAGTCCGTAGCCCGTAGTAATCAAACTACTTCAATCCAATAGCGCCTGTGCGGCTGTGACCTGTGGACAGTGGACCCAGTTTTGGATAGAACTCAAGAACACAACAAAATTAACTACAACAGCTCGATTGGTTCGTTGGAAAATATTTGAAGGGAAATGGAATTGAAATTTCATGGAAAATGAATTTCAGGAAAATTGATTCAATTGTTTAGTTTGTGGAAATAAAATTATTGGGAATATGTATTCCATTGTTTGGTTGGATTTAGAAAGATAAGGAATAATGAATATAAAGACCAATATGCCTTTAAAAAGATGAATGAATAAATAGGTGTCTATGTAATTAAGAAATTTTCATAAAGGTAAAATAGTCCACTCATGTTATTTTTCTTCCCAATCCTTGTGGAAAACAAAATCTCACCCCTTTGCAAAGAATTCATTTTCCTCCACTTTGAGGAATCCATTTTCCAATGGAAAATGTTTTTCATCCAACCAAACAACATAAACCAACATTTTCCTTCACTTTGAAGAAAACATTTTCCATGGAAAATATTTTCCATCCAACCAAACACCCCCAAGAGTATAAAAGGGCCAATACAAGAAAGAGACGGCATAAAATAACTGATTCTAGTGGCGCTACTATGCTTTTATGTAATCTTCTTGTTAATTTTTCTGCACGTTGGATTTTTTTTTTAAGGGAAAATGACATTTTTTTTCCCTATATTATATACTTATAGCATTTTTTTTTCTTTTTTTTTTTTTTTTCTGAATTATTTAAGTGGCAGTTTTTTTTCCTGATATTGTTAAATGGACATATTTACTCATTTATTTTTCTTCTCTAATAAATTATAACTACGATTTGGTTCAAATCGAACAAACACTATTGCAAACAAACAAAAAGGTTATGATGACAATTTAGAACCGGAATCCGATATTTAGAATTTATTAAAATCGCGAACCGAAACTGTCAATCATGTTCTGAATTGAAAACATAAAATACATTAACAAGCTGTTTGGTTGGATATAATTTCGTTGTAGTTGAATTGGAATTCAGTGAAGCTCAAAATTACGTTGTTTGGTTGGAGGGAATTGCAATTCCCTCATTTTGTTGAATTGCAATTCATGGGGTACCCCCATGAATTGCAATTCAATAAATTTGAGAAAGGAAAAATAAATCAAATAACACAATTAACCTTGATTTTTATTACTATTGTTATTGCATAAGGGTATTTTAGTTTTTATACCACTTCTTTCCTTCTCAATTCTAATGATTCAATTTCTTCCTACCAAACAACGTAATTTGAATTCCTACTTTATTCTCACCTTATTCTTTTCCCACCGAATTACAATTCATTTCCTTCCTAATTCCTTCCTTCCAACCAAACACCCCATTATTGTTGAATTTAGAATATTTTAAAAAAATTGGCAAAAAAAAGAATATTTTAAAAATTTTAAAAAAAATAATTTTAAAGATAGTTTGAACCAGCATGTCAAATTGAATCCGAAACTGTGAACCGACAGTTCAAAATCAAAATTATATCGCGGTTATATATACTTATATGTGAAAATCATAATAAACGCGAAAAAGAACATACACTATTTGTAAATATTATAATTATAATTTTAAACTAATGTTAGTAGTTGTTCCAACTTGAACCTCCGGTTTACGGTTCAAGATCAATTTTTTTTTTCAGTTCACAATTTTAATAAACGGAAATCCAAATATTGGGTTCTGGTTCTGAATCATAACCGAAAAATTTTGATTTAATTGATATAGTGTCCGGTTCAGTTCGAATCGAACCGTGATCATCCCTACGTATAAGCAATAATTTGTTGAAGAAGAGAAGTAAATAAGATATTTATTTTAAGGGTATAAATGCCAATTTAATATATCAGAGGAGAAAAACTGTCACTTTTATAATAATTGAGGAGGCATTGCATGAATAACTTAAGGAAAAAAAGTGTTATAAGCACATAGTCAAGGAGAAAAAATGTCATTTTATCTTTTTTTAATAGAAAATGGTTAAAAAGGTCTATCAAATTTTGATAAGAAAAGTACTTTAGACTATTTTAAAGAGTTTTTCTTTTGTTTTTTCGGGAAACTATTTTAAAGAGTTAATTCCTTTTTTTTTTTTTTTTTTTTGTCCTAGATTTACAGGTGCAATCCACTTTTAGTCGTCCTTTTTCAAATCATCCTTCTTTGGTTCTAGTATTATTGTGGTATGATCATTTTTTGTCCTCCATCAACAATATCGTTTAAATTTCGTAAAGTACAAGGGAATTTAGGTATTCAATTATAATTTTGTTTCAAAAAATAAAAATAAAAATATAGCGGGTTAACCCACTTTGTATAAAAATAATTTTGTTGACGGAGGACTAAAAACGGTCATACAATTATAATACTAAGACCAAAGATGGATGTTTTGAAAAATGACTAAAAGTGGTTTGACACCTATAAATTTAAGACCAAAAATAGAATTTACTCCTATTTTAAATACTTTAACTAGTCATTTTGGTGTATCTAAACCTGTTAATTAGATAATTATAAAGAATATATCAATTAAATTAATTTTTTTAAATTATAATTTCTTATTTAATTTCCTAACATGTCACCACTTCGTTGCATTGTTACCGTCGTCATGTTCACCATCGCATTCCTCTATTCTAAGGAAGGCAATGCGACAATCGCCTTCTTCGACTAAAGAAGGTTGTTGGTAGTCGGGTGGCCATGTAAACAAAAATCATATTACATTATCATAATTTTACTATTAATATGTTAGTTGCGGGTAAACATGGTTTCAATGGATGAATTTAGGGTTCTTTTGAAAACCTATAAAATGTTTTAGGAAAATGATTTCCAGAAACTAGCTTGAAAAGATATGAGAGAGAAGATAAATAGGGAAAAATAAATAGTTTGAAAAATATATTCCAACTAAAAACGTATAAAGACATTTTTTGCTAAACTAAACATTTTTTTTTCGTTGACTACAATGGATATTTTTTTTTTAACTTTATTTTCATTAAATACCCAAAATACATAAAAATTAGAAAAAAGACTTCAAAATATCATTTTTCGGAGTTTTAAACGAATCCTTATTGAATTTGAGTACTTAATTAGAAATTTTTAAAGTTTGATGGTTTTTTTTTTTTTTTTTTGGGGGGGGGGGGGAGGGGGGAGGGTAGGGGTGGGGTCAAAAGTTGAAGAGTATTTAACGAGTGAAAAAAGAAAAATTATTACGGAGAAATCTTAATTTTTTTTATTATACTAAAGTACTCCGTAATAAAATAGACACGTGACCTGTAAAGTAGATTTAAACAAGATTTGGTTGCACTTTTGGCTGCCGCAAGCAAGCAAAACAAACAAATAAAATAGTTAAGGGAAAATGACATATTTTCCACTTGAATTCTACCCTTATAACCCTTGTATTTACTATTTAGTACTCATAAGTTTTGGTGCATGTTTTAATACAAGATAGTTTCATCCTTGTGTTTTAATACAAGATATTTTCATCCTTGTGGTTTTGTTGGATGTGGTTTGAATTCATTCCTTACTTTATTCTATGACAAAGCAAATTATAATGTTTAGTTAGAGAGAATTGCAATTCCATGATATTACAATTCCCTCCATTTGATGAATTGCAATTTGATAATTGTGGAAAAAAAAAAAAAGGGAGAAAATGATAAAAGTATCATTAGTTATTATTATTATTATTATTAATGTTATATCCAACATAATAAAAAATTAATGTTATAAAAACTGTAATTGAATTGAACAAACATATATTATATTGTAATTCATTAGCATAAAACATACATGATTTCGTGTAAGTATTAATATTCGCCTTTGGTGATTTTATAATGCAAGAAGGATTTTTATTTCTAGGAAACAGGGAACATTCTTTCAACAATATTAAGGGCATAATACATTTCTTCCAGGACCTCCAAAATAAAATATGGGATCATCAGTATAATCATGGTCGAGGTAAAAGATATCATAGCATCTATACTCGTCGGTCCAGGGATAAGCCCAAGTCGGAGGAATCAACTCCAATGAATTCCCAAGAATTCTCATTCTTTTCACGTACCCAGACGTTCCAAATATCATGTCCGGATAGCGCCCACTCCCCATTGCTGTTGCTGTGTGTGGTCGCCGACCGCCTACATAGCTACTGTAAACCTCACCACCCCATTCAACTGTCTTGGCATGATATCTTAAACTCGCGAAGATCTCTGGGGGCCAATACCCAATATTTTTCTCTCCATATTGTACCCACCAATTTCTTGTATATGGATCCTAGTGTTTAAGAAAATGGTTAGAAAATGAATCCTAGTGTCATAAATGATATAAATTGTGTATTTTTAGTATTTGAATTGTGAACTTTTAGAATATAAATTGTATTTCTAAGTTAAAGCACATAATAGTTGTCACGGTTATCAAATCTTAACATGTTAATAGTGTGTGACTACAGTATTTGAAAGGAACTTGTGAATACAAAATAAGGTAATCAATTACATATATATGTTAACATTGTGTGTTTGTAGTATACAAATTGTGAATTTTTAAAAGGTAAATTGTGAACATTTAGTATATAAATTGTAAACATTTGGACTCGTGAACCAAACGGCCCCTAAAGCTTATTAAAATTATTATTTTCAACTGATTTTTTTTTTTTTTCCACTTTTGGTTCTTCAACTATTGTATATCATTCCCACTTAGTCCCTAATTGGCTAATTATTAATTTTTTCACATTTGATGCATGATTATTTAATTCCTACCACATTTGGCCATTTCACTCAATTTATTGCGAACCTAAGTCAGACATCTATATCTAACATATACCATTTCAAATAACTCACATGCTAGTGATATAAGAGATTTATTTAAGGTTGACTGAAAACTTATTAGAAAGATAGTTAAATGTGACTGAAATTTGATAGTAATGCGTTAATTATTTTTTAAAAAAATTGATATATAGTCAAGAAATAAATGTAATGGATTTATATATTTTGATTTCTGACCTGATGGATGTATATAGAAATTTCATAGGGTAGGCCAGTTGGGGACGAGATGGGATAGATAGCTGCACCAAGTGCAATCTCATGACTAGTTTGAACAAAACCAGGGCAGGTGTGATCAAAGCAGCCTGTATTTTTTGAAGCATCAACCTATGACACAAAAATTCCCCCCAAAAAACAAAATCCTTAGTGAAGTATAGTCCTCAAATAAATTAATTACTGAAATAATGAACTAATCGAGTTGGCCAGGTTGTTGACTTGGTAACCACAATGTTCCATGTTTGACTCCTAGTAGGAGTAGCTTATTAGCCTTCTTGGTTTGAGCCGATAAGTTATAGAAGGGTAAGATAGGCTCGTTTATCTACATATGGTCCTTTGTCGACTAGAATCACAAGGCAGTTTTTACCTCGAGTAGTGACAGTCGATTCCCTCGTTACCTGGCCAACAAAATATTTATCTCCTTAAAATAATCTCGAATAATTTTATTTACGTACCGTCCAATAAGTGAAAATTCTTGTTTGCCTGTCTCCATATACACTAGGGTTTACAGCCCACCCGGACTGAATTTCTTCATAGTCACTAGAAGGCCCACCATCAGAGAGAGCAACACGAGAAGTGCTATATTCATCATCTGCCTCAACATGAGGAGTATGAACCCTAAAGTCTCCCTTGGCTCCCAAGTAGCGGTACCCATATGTGAGCAATATAGCCAACTATAACATAATTCGTAGGAAAAAATAATTAGAAAAAGAACTCAATTTTTTTTTTTTTTTTGTCACTTTTGTTTCTGGTAGCATTTTTCTATTTTCATTATTAGTATACGTTGTACGCCTATGAAAATTGTCACTATAGATGTGATTCTATTTTTTTTAAAAATAAAAAGTTATTATTTTTGGTCTTTCTCGTGAAGAATTTGGTAAAATCTCACTAGATTTGTCACAAGGACTAAAATTATAAGAAAAAAACCTTTAAAATCACACTTTTGACAAAATTATAAGAACAATAATTGTATGTATTTTATAATTACCGAATGGTTCTGGTGCAAGACGGATAACTTTTCATCACCATCTGACCCTTTATCACGACGAAAGATGGTAGGCTTCTTTCTGATTTCTACTCCATTTTTCCTTCTAATGGGAACTGTTCCTCTAGGGCAACTTCCACTTCTATGCCATGTTTGTGTTGTTATAGTGAGAGGAAGGCCTTCTTTCCTTTGTTTGGTGAAGGATGTTCTCCTAGGTTGTTCTGTGGTCTGATGATTATGACTTGGTGTCATCTACATTAAGAATGAGTCAGTCTATAACACAAGAAGTACATATATATGTAACGGAGTAACGGGTCAGGTTCCCATGCGGCCGTACAGTTACACACCATTATGTACGCATAAATGCACCACAAAGTGTTTGAAAATGCACTATATGTGGTGCATCTGTGCATTTTATTTTAGTGCTGTATGATGCATTTATGCATATCTAATGGTGCAATCCGTACTGAGTGCACGAGAAGTCCTGTCTTCATTATATGTAAAATCATATATAATCATATCAGATGGTCTAATGTGGGAAAATCATCATTAGAAATACCTGAATTTTGTGGTTTCTCAAAGCAGGATGCTTGAATGCTGGCTGCTTGTAGATGTTGATGCATTCTATGATGTCACCATCTTCACTCTAAACATATTCAAGAAATTAAACAAATATATATACGTACACAGATTCATTATAGTGTTGATCGATATCGGTGTCAATAGTATATAATACAATCATGTATATAATAATAAACCTAGTTGTACCAGGTATACTATTGAACTAGCTAGTGTTAATATATAGTATCTAGCATAACAAAAATAGTGTATATGATTCTGCCCGATAAAATCACATAAACACACATACTAATAATAAAATTAGCAATACCTGAATGGTTGTGACAGAATGGTTTGTGTGAAGATTTGAATTGTTGTGACCAAAGATTGGCTTATTTTTTTTCACCTTTCCATTGCAAAATGTGGTGATCAGTAACAAGAAAACCACTATTTTGAACACCATCATCCTAGAAATGACAAGACAAAACATAATTTGACAGCCAACTATCCTTAAACTAATCAATATTGTTGTTTGTGTTCCTCAAGATGCCTGTGATAAAGAGAAATTAAAGTGAATTTATAGATTACATTACCCACTTGAGCTCGACAGAAATGCAGCTAGCAACTCTTAGGCTGGAAGTTCTTTGCACCCTATGTTTGCATGAATTACCTTACACATCATCCATATGACATTTCTTATTTGAATAGCATTGAGTAGCGAGCACAAATAATGTACATAAAGTTTCATGGTCATTTTATTTTACCATGCATGATCACTGCATGATGTTGCTCTAATTTTACAGCCAGCATTTCAATTCAATGCACATTAATTAATAAAACTACTATCTAGGGGCAACCAATTCGTCCGACGATTGATTTGATAAGTACAAAATTTTAATTTCGGCTCTTTTGTGAGAGTTGTCCATTGACTTTCGTGGTTTGAGCCGGTCAGCTATGAACTGATTTACTGTTCTTTAATTTTACCGTTAGGATAACGATTGCAGGTTTTTTTTTTTTTTTTTTTTTTTTTTTTTTTTCATATATGATACAATATAATTATTCCCCACACTATAATAATAGCTAATCAATCATTCATGATGTTGGCTAAGGGCATCATTAATATCTATATCTTAGGGTTTTTTCATGACAATTATGTGAGCTGAAGTGGAGGGGAGAGAAAAGAAATTGAATTTACAAAGAGAATGGTTTTTTTGTGGATCCCGTGAAGAAGAACAATTTCTCTTAATTGTTGCTAATGCTTTAAGAAATATCAAGTAACTAGCCTGGAGACGAAACCAATTAATTGCCACACCACTCTTGCATTGACAGTGGTGCGCAAGAACTCGCGTCCACCTTCGAAATATTTACGATTTACATATTAACGGGGCGTTTAGTTGGAAGGAGAGAATTATGTGGGAAAAGAATTGCAATTCAATGGGGGATGAATTACTGGAAATAAAGTGAAATTTAAATTTCAGTATTTGGTTTACAGGAATAAAATTACTGGGAATTTCAATTCCAATGTTTAGTATACATGAGAATTGAAAGAGAATAACTAGTATAAAGTTCAAAATGTCTATTGTTGTCAAGCATTAATTTTACATTAAAAAAAAAAAAGAGAGTAATTTTGTCTCATCATTATCTTTTTCTCTTCCTAAAATTCATGGAATTAAAATCCCAAGGGGGGCATGGGATTTTAATTCCATGAAATGATGAGACAAAATTAAGGAATTTAGTGGCCTTTGAAATTAGGTGGGAATGGAATTTAAATTCCCTCCAACCAAACGCCCCGTAAAGGTTTACAATTTATTTTTTAAAAATTCATAATTTGTATGTTACAAACACACAATGTTAACATATATGTAATTGATGGGTAACACTTGTGTGAGATCGTCTCACAGGTCTCAATCCGTAAGACGGGTCGAATCTTTGATCAAAGTGACCTCAGTGATAAAAATCCGACCCGTACGTCTCACAGATTGAGACCCGTGAGATGGTCCAGTCGTTATATCGTGGACCATGGTCCAAAAATGATGTTGTTTCTTTAAGTAAAGAAACGGTTGTCGTTACATCTTAACAGAGTCTGTATTTTTTGTGTGTTAATTACAAAATAAAACTACAATGTATCTAAAATGAAACTGCCTCACATATTGTTTTTATATTATCAAATGAAACTGTAATTGAATTGAAATGAAACTGTATTTGTGTTGAAATGAAACTGTAGTGTATATAAAATGAAACTGAATAACAATTTCACATATTTGAGTGTATATTGTCCAATGAAACTGTAGTAATGTCGAAATGATACTGTTGTTGTGTTGTAATGAAACTATAGTGTATATATATAAAATGAATCTGAATAACAGTTTCACATATTTGAGTGTATACTGTCGAATGAAACTGTAGTTATATCGAAATGAAACTGTAATTATATCGAAATGAAACTGTAGTTGTGTTGAAATGAAATTGTAGTGTATATAAAATGAAACTGAATATGTTATACAATCAGAGCTACTTTATGCGGAACGGCACGAAACTTCTTTTCATTAAAAGAAACGACACCGTTTTCATGCCTGTACCACAATGCATTGTGGACTGCGGTCCATAGTAAAATTTGCCAAGGTGGTCTCACAAAAGTTTTTGCCGTAATTGATTACCTTGTTTTGTATTCACAAGTTCCTTTCAAATACTGCAGCCGCAAAATATTAACATATTAGAATTTGATGACCATGTATTGTATTCATAAATTTTCTTCTACAACCATTATGTATTTTGACTTAGAAACACAATTTAAATTCTAAAAAAATTTACAATTTCAATACTAAAAATACACAATTTATACTTCGTTTAGGACAACAAAAAAATAATAATAAAAAAATAAAATAAACTTAAAAAATAAAAAAATTAAGAGAAAAACTTCCTTAAATCTACAAATCCAATAAGAGCCATATTATGCCCTTAATAGGAACAAAAAAATGTTGATGTAATTCTACATTCTATTTTTCTATCTACAAATCTGATTAGAGCCAATAATGTTATGCCCTTAACAAGAACAAAAATATGTTGGTGTAATTCTACATTCTATTTTTCTATCTACAAATCTAATTAGATCCAATAATGTTAGGCTCTTAACATGAACAAAAAAATGTTGGTGTAATTATTTCTTAAAATGAATGGTTCATATTATTTTGATTTTAATTTTTTTTTTTTTATGATTTTCCTTATTTACCATCTATTATATTATTTTCTTCCTTTAAATAACTCTATATTCCGTTAGTATAAACTTTAGTAACAGAATATTCCATTAACTAGAATATGTAACGGATATTGAACAGCCTGACGAAGTAAACTACCAAATTCCTACCAGAGTACAGACAGAGCAACAGGGTACTTCTCGGAAGGGAAAGGAACCCATGACTATGCCAAGAGCGAAGGCCGGCCGAGCCAGTTTAGGAGACGAATTTATGTACGATGAGTCTGCTTTTCCACAGTTGGCAAGGAACTCCTCTCTTGCCAACACCAGAGGGAGAGACTTGTAAGCATTGAAAAATTTAAATAATATTGTTTGACCGTGGTGGATATTTAATCATTAAATTAATTACTTTAATTAGGTTAATTGGACTAATATTTATTTAATTGAGTTAATTAAATGGCCCATTAAATATTTAATTGGTTTAATTACTTAATTAAATGTAATTGAATATTGGATTGTTCGGCCCAAGTTGGTGGAATTTTAATTGAGTTGGACCGAGCTGCTTGAATGAATTAGGTTGCCTAATTAGCGGGTTTGACTTGGTCTTGGTCCATCAAAATTATATGTGGATTATATAATTTTGAGAAATTTGAATATTTGATATTATTTGGAAATTTAATGAAATCATGAACCTGGACGCAATGGTGTCCCGATACGTTCCTTAATTTAATTAAAATAATTAAATTAAATTAGGAATTAAGAGTTGGTTGGAGATTTTCCCTCACACTCACCACTATAAATAGTGGTTTCATTTCCAAAGAAGGAGCTCTGAAAATCTGCATACCGAAGCTCTGCCAAAATCTCACCAGGATATCATCTGGAACACGCCCGCACAACTGCGTATACAGCGCTGAGGAACACGCCACTTGAACACCGGAAGCCATTCTTTGAAGATCAAGCTGCATATTAGCCCTTCATTGAGGAACAAGCTACTAACTCCGGAGGCCCTTCAGCAAGGAACTACTCCAGTTCGGCACACTCCCGAACTTGGCATACTTCCAGTTCAGCATACTCTGAACTCAGCACACTTCTAACAAGGAACTCGGCATACTTCCAGTTCGGCCATACTCCCGAACACGGCATACTTCAAGTTCAGCATACTCTGAACTCGGCACACTTCCAATTTGGCATATTCCAAATTTGGCACACTTCCAATAGGCATACTTTGTAGTAGAGAATCAAAGGACTTCTCCTATACAGAGATTGTACCCTTCCCGTTTGATATATACTTGATACTACTTGTAACCGACACTTTGAATTTTGAATATATATAATTCAAGTTTTTCGCGTTTACATATTTTGGCACGCCAAGTGGGACAGCTCTGCCTCTCATCTCTCTACCATACTGCTACCTGCGCATCCAATGGCATCAAACAATCCCATGTTCAGGAGGACCTATTGTAACACCCCACTTTTCTAACTCTTAATTATAACTCTAATCAGTCATAAACATCACTAAGCAGCGGAAAAACTAAAAGATATATAGTGGGAGTGTCACCGCCACAACCACCACTCCTTAGTGATTGCACAGGCTAAAAGGGGTAAAACTAGAAATAAGATTAAGTCTGGGAACTAAATATAAATAGAGGAAACGTAAGGGGGGAAAACATCACCCCAAATAGTCTACATCAATCCTCAAACATAAAGTCAAAAGTCTAAAATTCATACATAACATCAATGATACTAGAGTTTAGATATCTATATCTACGAGAGTAATCTAACTCGACTTCTTCACACTGCTGGGCCCACCTGAAAGGGGTTTTGCAAGCAACACATAGACAAATAGGAAAACACCTGTTAGCACGAAGCTAAGTATAACCACACTCAACCCTGTAAAGCATTCTAGCATATACTTTGAAAACATTTGATTTCTTTATAGCAATAAGCTAATCTCAAATCATCTTAAGATTATCACATTCTTTCTAGATACTTGCACCCTATAGTATCAGCTGTCATGCTCATATATGTACAAGACTGTCCACATAGATTCAACAGCATATAAACTTCTCAAATAACTTAACAAGCAATTCATACTTACGGATAGGATCATATTAAAAGACCATATAACAAGTGTTTACATGCTTTCACATTCTTATCACATAACTGGATAAGTAGAGCTTCTAATACAACAAGATAATCATGCTCAAAGGAATATCTTAAGTCAAAATTCTCGTTATACAATCTCTTACGATGCTCTATTCGCATGCAATCACATATAACATTGTGATCATACTTCTTATGCAATCTAATGCAATAATATATTCATACCTATATGCAATCTCGTGCAATAATATAATCATACTCTTATGCAATCTAGTGCAATAATATAATCATATTCTTATGCAATCTAGTGCAACAATATACTCATACTCATATGCAATCTAGTGCAATAATATACTCATACTCATATGCAGTCTCGTGCAACAATATAATCATACTCTTATGCAATCTAGTGCAACAATATAATCATACATCATATGCA